AATTACGAGACATGGCACATGGTCAAAATGACAATTCTTTTCACCGACTGACTAACTCAATTTTGGAGAACACTCTGGTTTTGTTTACCGCTAAATAATCAGATTAATCCAATATTCTTGAAATTGTCCTTTTTTAGACAAGGAATAGTTCTGCAATAAGCTGTTTGTATCACAACTTTTCCGCGCTCAATGGTTGCGAAATGCGAATCGAATGAAAATGGTCGATTTTCAGCCGATTTTCAGCCCAGTTGGGACTCGCTAAATTGTATGAAATTGAGTCTGAAGGTTAAATCAAAAATGTTGTTTTTCTCGGAAAGACAAAGATATTTCAAAGAAAAAACTACAGCCTGTTTGCATTCTTGCTAGGGGCTAGCTATATGCAAAAGACGAGTGAATTTGAATTTTCCAGCCTTGCCGAAGAAATTTGATTTTGTTTGATTTTTGTGGGAATTTGCTGATAATTCTTATTCTTATTTCTATTCTTATTCTTATTTATTTATTTTATTATTTATTTATTTTTATTTTTTTTTAGTGGAAGTAACAAACTTCACTATTTAGTAGTGAAATCAACCTATGGTGACTGTTGCTAGTTGGCTAAACAAACCAAAACCAAAGCCCTGACACTGCTGAATAACACTGGACTAATCTCTAATCCTTATGTGAAATGAGCATCTCTGCGGTCATGCGTTCTGATGAAATCAACATTTCGCTGTTTTGTAAGTGAAATCAACATCCTTGTCGTCACGCGTTAACGTGAAATCAACATTTTAACCTATTTGAGACCTGAAATCAACATTTTTGAGCTTATACGTTGCGTGAAATTAACATTTTGCTGTTTTGTAAGTGAAATCAACATCGTTGCCGTCATGCGTTCATGTGAAATCAACATTTTAACCTAATTAGACCCGAAATCAACATGTTTGAGTGAATGGGCTGCGTGAAATTAACATTTTGCTCGTTTCTAAGTAAAATCAACCTGAAATCAACATTTTTCAGCTTATGCGTTTCGTGTAATTAACTTTTTGCTATTTTCTAAGTGAAATCAAAGTCTTTGCGGTCGCGCGTTAACGTGAAATCAACATTTTAACTGTTTTTGACCTGAAATCAATATTTTTTAAGGTTACGCAACGCGAGAAATCCAAATTTTACTGTATTTTAAGTGAAATGAACATCCTTGCGGTCGCGCGCTGATGTGACAACAAATAAAAGTTTTTTGCATGCATAATATCTCAAAAACGATGCAAACTTCAGCAAAAACATATACAGAACATTGTTTAACACACCTAAAAAAAAAAAGCATGCGAAATTTGGAGCATTTTTGACAAATTTCACTTCTGAGCAAAATACCTAACGCCCTTTTTCCACCGAGCCCTTCACACAAACGAAGCCGGGCTTTGTTATAATAAACCGAGCTGATCCTTTGTTATAATAAAACGAGGCGATACTTTGACTTATAACAAAGCCTCGCCTTGGTTTATTATAACAAACGCCCTGGCTTTGTTTATCTGAAGGGCTCGGCTGAAAAAAAGCCTTAGGTATTTTGCTCAAAAGTGAACGTTGTTGAAAACGCTCCAAATTGTGCATGCAGTTTTGTTTAGGTATGTTTAGCAATGTCCCGTAGTTTTTCCACTAAAGTTTGCTTCGTTTTCGAGATATTGCGTATGCTAAAAACCACCCGCTTTTTCCTAGCGGCGTCTTTATATTATTATTGAAGTCAATTTTGAGTTTGGCAAATATTTGATTGCTTGTCATGACATTTTGATAAAACTTTTCCAGTAATAATGTTAATTACTGGATCAGCAAGACAAAACCATAAAGCACAGAGTGACATACTGTACCAGCAATAGCCTTGAGTTGTCTTGAAACAACTTCTTTAGTTTTTCCAGCCTCTCTCTCTGATAGAAGTTCTCCAATGCAAGCTATCACTTTCAATCCTTCTGATAAAGCATGGGCAACCTTCTCACCAATCAGCTAATGAAAATATGATGTATATATTAGATAACACAGCTGTATACCAATACAAAGAACAGCCAGAAGTATGAAATCAAAGTACCAGCAACTGAATTCTAGCTGTTCATATGCATTTAATAAGTGAGGCGTGATTGAGCAGACTGGGTTTGAGCCCTAGCCATGGACATTGTCGCAAAACACCTAACTCTCACAGTGTCTCTCTCCACCCAGGTGTATAAATGGGTACCAGCAAATTTAATGCTGGGGGTAACCCTGTGATGGACTGGCATCCCATCCAGGGAGGGGGGGAGTAAAAATACTCCTAGTTGCTTCAGGCTACAGAAACTGGGATAAGTGGCAGCCTGATGGGCCACTTGGCTTGTATGCAGACTATTACTTACAATGAGTGTTTTTGTTTGTTCTGCGCATGTCAGTTTTGTAATGTTACATGCTGTTCATGTTGTGCACAACATGTGATTAGTTACGCCTCAATTTGGTATGCTTATGAGATAAGTAAAAAGAATTTGTTAAAGGCTCTATTCATTATCAAAATGCCTGAAACTTGTATTTCATACAGTTTTGTTACTTTAAACACCAGCAGTACAAATGGAAGATCATGTTAACATTCATAAATGGCAGCTCATGCACTAAATTTTTGTCATATAATTTCCAAGCTGAGGGCAATTGATATAATCAATAATAACAATCATGGATACCAATCAATCAATGATGATCAACATTAATCAATTTTAATTAGTATTATCAACTACTAATCAATGAAAAATCGCAAAAATCTACTCCATCAATAAACCATTGATTGTCAAATTAATCACTTAATTAGTATTGATTATTAATGATTAACATAAATTTTCATCAACCATTGTTTTATTGTTCAATTGCCAGGACCTCCCAAATGTTCATATATAGGCACCTGGCTCAAACATTTAAGTTCTGGCTATCACAGATTTAAAATCTCTTACCTCATCACTCTCTTTAAAAATATTCCTTCTCTCAGAATGTCCCAAGATCACCCAATTACAGCCAATGTCTTTGATCATGGCAGGACTAAAAACAAGATTTCACAAAATAAGCCATCAAGTAGCCTATGAACGTAGACAGTTTCCCACTTGTCTACTAACTGAAAGTGGCAGGCAAAACTCCATCTATGTTCGTAAGCTAGCTAGGCACACACATACACAGTGATGTCAGTTGTACAATTTAAATACAATATTTCCTCAGTTACATCAATTTCCTCAATTATATCACGGACTCACCCTTGATATAACACCCCATTCACCACTAAGAAGCTAGAGTTGTTTTCAGCTTCACCTCAAGCAACTCTACTTATAGTTCTTTCGTGTGCCCCAAACTTTCTGTGTGCATTATAACTCAATGAGGTGTGCTATATCATGACACAGTTGCTGATTATTAGCATTCCCATTATCAACTAGTGAGACAATCTCAGATAGTGCAGAGTGTAATTAATGGCTCTGATAAAGTAGTCACATAGGTCCTCACCCATGCCATTCTCTCCCTTGGTAGTCTACTAATATGAACGAAATATGAGCGGACAAAAACTTGATAAGACATAATCTTAGCGGTGTGTATGTTTTATGTTTGTGTTTTCTTTCAAGGCCCAAAAATAACTTACAATTACCGTTTGTCAAGATGGTTTTGAAATGTGACAATTGTACTTTTCACGCCAACATTTGTAACTTGATACTTCTGTTTTCCTCGCCAATGTGTGTCACAAGATACCTTCGTTTCCACGAAAATATAAGAAAGATGTGTATTTTTTTTACTCACTGATGGAGATAATTGGAAAATAAAAGTTAAATACCGGTATCTGCTGAAAAGTCGAAGAGGAACAATTTTGATTTATTCAAAATGCAAATTTTCATTTCACGGATAAAGAGGAACTAATCTAATTATCAAATAGTCATGTCGAGTCACGGAAGAGTGCGTTCTTATTCTGTTGCCAGCCGAGTTGGTGTAAACAATAAAACCACATCAAAGTAATACACAATGCTATCCAGTAATAGCATTGAGGAGCGTTTCAACGAAAAGTACTGAAGGTAGAGATCTTTACTTGACCGAAATTATATCCCACATAGGTGAGCGAGTCACCTCATTGACTGATGAAATTAATTGGAGGTTTCAGTAAGTACCACACAGTCTGCGGCAATAATAACAAAGTTTCTTTTGTCACAAATTTACTTGTTTTACATGTTACTAACGTGGGAAAGTTTCGGCTGAATATGTACTTTTGGCTTTCTTTCATAGAAGAGGAAACAAACAAGCTGCTAAGGAGAAGCAATATGTTCCCATTCTCTATTTCAACCCCGGCAAAAAAAAAAAGCACATGACATTTATGAAAACTATAGACGAAACAGCAGACGACATTTCTTGAATTGAGCTAGGGAAGATTCCAGAAGATATACAGTCACAGTAGTGTTCTTTGCACTAAAAAAGGAGAACTGACGTTACCTGAAATATAACTGCTGTCCCCAGCCAAAACGAGAGTGTGATATCCCTCATTTACAAAAAATAAAAAAAAGCGTGCATCTGAACTCCAGAACAGAGTTTATCACACTAACAATGCTAGAACCCATGCGTCTTACATGTTATGTTCTACCACAAGGGAAAGCACTCAACGTTCATGGGTAGTCCTGTATGAACTGTATCTTTCACCTAACATATAGTTGACTTTGACATTAACTAATCTGCGCATGCGTTTGGAACAAATTGCTTTTGTTCCTAAGAGAATGGCACCACAAGGATAGCATGAGATTTGCAAAACCACACATATATTTTTGTCATGTTATTAATTAAAGCAACGTAAATATGACAGGTTTTGCGTAATGCACTTGGGTACCTACCCCACCCAACTCTCCTTCCCGCAAGGCTAATTGATTAATTGAAATTAATTAATTAAACAAACATTGAAGTTTACACCTTATGGCATTAGTGACTTAGCGAACATCAGCCCCCCAAACCATCCCAATAGTGCACTCTGCACTAAAAATGAGAGTATACATGTGTGTGCTGGGCTGTTGTACTTGTATTATAATTTATGTTGTACCTAATTTCTCCTGTGAAAGCTCCAGTGGCCACCCTGTAACAATTCTGAGCCGACACATCAATGTCTGACTTGACTGATGAACAGACGTAATCCAGATAGATGGATGGAGGAGCAACTACAACTTCTATGTCACAACAAAACAAAAGTTGATAATTAACCTGCCTGATCTGTTCAAACTAAAACATTTCCAAGGTATGTGTTAATCATTCAACAATACATGTCTAAAAAATGTTTACTCTACGACTCATCATTGTTCATTATTCAGTAGGCTCATTTTCTTGACTTGCCTACTGAATAATGAACAACGATGAGATAGCTGTTCAATGATTAACACATATCTGATGTGTAGCTAGAATTTCATAATCACACACAGGAGTGGAACATGAATACTGTCGTCATAGGAATCTCGCAGTTTTAGAGCTTTTCTAAGGAATAGAGCTTACTGTCAAAGAAGGAAATCAAGGCAATAAAATTCTTGCAGTCTCCACTGAGATTCTAAAGCTGACATCACCTGGTGGTTCTACCATTTAGGGTTGTGGGCACCACCATCCTTTGTACCTTCCCCAAGCACCTAAACTGGCAATCAGGGTTGTAGCTAAGAAAATACTATGCCAGCTCATTAACAAGCCAAGCCAACTTTTCTGGCCTTGATAGCTTCAAAGTTTACCCAAGGCTTTTTACACTTGACAGGTGAAATGTCAGTCCCATTCAAGTTCCCTTTTGGCCAAAGAAATAAGCCTGCAGTGGGCCCTTACCAACATCCCTGCGGGCAATGATTATACGTTATATTACTAGAGAACAGCAGGAAGTCTTCACCTATAAGGCAGTGAGATCAAAGTGGTAGATCAAAGAGAGTTCTACAGAGTATAATTATTTTAAACTTTATTTTCCCTTGAGTAAACCTCTTGTACCTATTGTGGATAATATCAATGCACTATCAACAATCAAATGATGAGAGAAATTGAAAATCACTCCCCAAAAAATTCAAAACTAGCAGCAAAACACATCTCTACTAGTTTGGGGGACATTCAATGGTTTGACCTGAATGGACTACAACAGATGTAATGGGGGAGGGTAAGGGGTGTGTCATCAGAGCCAAGCTGGTACACCAATCTCAAATGCACAGAAAATAATTTCAGCAATTAAAGCATCACATCGTGTTTCTTATTGCTTTAAAAAATCAAGATGCAATATCAACGCATTTATAAATGACACACAATTTTTGAACCCAGTGGATGGCTAATTGGAATACACTTATCTTGACCCTGGGAAATATGACACTTTCACTCAACCGATCTAAGGCTTACGTACTGAACTGAATTTTTCTCCTGATTTCAAATTAAGAAAATATGACACCTTCTGTCAATTTTTTCACTGTTGAGAGGCCACTATGTAAGCAAAGTAAAAGCTTAGCCAAAATATAAGCTTGTTTATAAGCTTGACTAAACAGGCATGCAAGCGGATAAGTTAGGGTTATGTTCACGAACAAACCTGTAGACGGACTCAGACTACTTTCAGCCAGATTCTTTAAAATCTCATCGATTTTTCCTTTACTCCCGTTCATCTTCCAGTTACCACCCACAAAAAATTTCCTCTCCATTGTGAAATGCTGAAGAAAAGTGCAAATTGCTCACAGAAGAAGGACAACTCAACAGTACTCTCGACAATCGGACGTAGAATTGACTAAAGTCCAGTCTGCTCAACTGGTCAGCTGGTCAAGATAGATCTGAGCACGGGCTCAGATTGTACGCCAGCGGTAAACTCTGTAGGCTGCGGCGCAGGTTGCAGAGGTCGACTGCAGACTTTTTGATCCCAATATTGAGAGCTAGCTAACCGTAGAACAGGTTAATCTGGGCGTTATTCAGGCTTACCATGGTAAATTTCTGGATTCCTGTTAGCCTTTAATAATAGAGCTCCAGTTTTAATAGCTTACAGCCCGCAAACACGCAATCTACCTTTTGTAACGACCGCTTTACGATAAGTCCAATACAGTGACAAGAAAACATTTTAAAAAAATTCCTTGCCATAAGTTGACAAGACTGGATTGGACCGGATTCAGAAATCTCTGAAAGAAAATAATCTACTATCCATCATATATCAAACTTGTTAGGGCATAACGCGGAATTTTACACTGCCAATAAGAGATGTCTTGTGGAGCTTATGCATATCATCAAGAGCTTTGTGGAGTGCCACCCTCCCGGGGAGGGATACGTTTACAAGATATGTGCAGATCCAACAAGAAAGTTCATGTTTTGAAACTGACACGTGACTTTTGTTTCTTGACAGTCCTTGCAGCCAATCAGCTCCTTTTGCGAACTTCTAGTGCACGCGCTATTATGTCAGAAACGGACGAAATGCTAAATGTAAGATTTTCGAAGGGAAATCAGTCAAGTGTCTTAAAGCGCGGAATTTCTGTTTTATCGTTTTTCGTCGTTACCTTTATTGGTCTTTATTTGGAAAATTGGTTGTGCATTTAGCCACAATTGTGTTCGTGTTCAAAGGATCTTTAGAAGAAAACAGGTGAGTGTTACTGTAATGCAAAATAAAGAGTTTATTTCGCAGTCCATAAAAAAGTTGAGCGACAATTTGTTTGTTTGTATTTGTTTCTATTTTTACCCCAAAAAAGTATTTTGCTGTTACCTGTATCGAACTATCAATCACTGAAGATTTTCTCATGATTTATCAGGTTTCTAGGAGCCAAAAATATGTCATCTCAACGTCTGCAGAAGTTGAATATATCTCAACACTGACAACACGTGACCACAGTCAGTCAACGTACAGCGAACGGCCTGCCAGGCCCTACAACAACATGTACACAGCAGAGTGGTACACCCCGGATGTGGCCCCCAGTACTTTGCTTTGGCTGGTCGGACCTAAAGACTGTTTGGAAGACAGCATACCTGAACAAGGTATGTTTAATTTCAGTTCTGGGTTGTCGTAAAACCAAGGCTTAAGATTGGTCATTAATTTAATGATGAGCAGAAATAGAATTTTAACTGAGAAAATAATTAAGCTTGTCTAGGTTTGCTTATTTGTGTTACAATTAATTGATTCATAAACGAATTAATTTTACTGAGTCGAGGACAAGAAACGCGCTATGTTTGTACGTTTTTCAGTTTTCTGTTTGGGTTTAGTTGCTATGGAAACTGTTATTCCGCGCGCGCTTCTCGCATTCCATTCGTCATTCGTTAGTGACGGTTAAAATTTGTTCTTACAATGCTGTTTGATAACCTTTGTTTGCAACTCAAGAAAATCTCATACATCTATGGCTTATCTTGCAAAATATTATTTTTGTTTTCTTTCCAGCATCGAACACTGGCATCCAGAAGAAATGCAAATAAGAAAGTATGCAAGGACAATGACTTAATATTACCAGCTTGTTTGGAATATCAAGGTACGAATCACTCTAACAACAAAAAAATAGCAATTCTTGCTCACGTTTCAAATGAGATAATTTCTCGATTACTAATCCTGCAAACTGATTGGTCCTAAGCGCCGTCTGGATTTGGCCTGTCTCTGATCACAGTCACAGTCACACGCGCGCCATGTGTGTACACAGGTCACCCAAGCGTGATATAAGAGTTTGCATGGAGAACTGTGGCTAAAATATAAGAGTTTGTATGGAGATCAGGAGTTGACATTAAATTCGTTCAATGTATGGGTAATTTACCGAATAAAGACTCTTGAAGATTCAATGTGTCATGTTTTCTCATCACCGTAGGACAATTTTTTTTAAAATTCGCCCAAATCTCGTTTAAACTCTCCAGGATGAGAAAACATGACACACTGAATGTGCAAGAGTCTTTATTCGGTAAATTACCCATACATTGAACGAATTTAATGTCAACTCCTGATCTCCATACAAACTCTTATATTACGCTTGGGTGACCTTTGGTGTGTATGGAAAAGGCCAACAATTATAAAAGTGATTTGGGAGAGAGCAAGAAATAAACAAGTTATTTGCCGGTTTAGGGTCGGTCCGTATAGCGAAAAACTGTGACCTCGGATTTGAAAATTCTGTACTCGGCCTGCGGCCTTGGGAAGTATTTTCAAGACATTGGTCGCAGTTTTTCACTACACGGACCTCCTAGCCGGCAAATAACATATATGTATTCATAGCATGAGTCTCTTTTTTTCTCAGACCTACTAACAATATGTATACCATATAATTTCTTGTAATGTGATTTACATTACAACAGGAACAATGTACCTTCTTTAATTTTCCTTCTTCTCTTACGGCTCGATCTCATCAATAATAACCACGGCTAAAAATAACGCTTATAGGTTGATATTATAACAAATTATCAAAGAGTGTCATAAAAGTCTTTGAAGAAACAGACGTTTTCGGGTGTATAATCCTTCTTCAGTGTTCAGAAAACCGTTACACTAATAAATTGTCGTCAGACATGGAATTGAATTGAAGCGCGTGGGTATGTAAATAGTAGCGCGCACAAGATGCATGTCACAATTCAAAGGAAGCTGAAATTTTTATTAAGACCATTGGGCTGAACGATTCCCAGCCAAAAAATCATCTTCATTTCAGGCTGCTTCCGTTGGATGTTGGTTCCACTGCATAGAGCCACACCACGCACCTGGACATGAGAAATACTATGGCCCGTGGAGTTGAAGTGTTGGGCCACAGGAAACCCTGGAGTGTTGTTGCGTATACTTCGCAAATGTTTGCTGAAACGACTCCTGAGGTTTCGTCCAGTTTTTCACCAATGTAAATAAGAGGTTATTGGCGGCAGGATATGCAATAAATAAGATTCTCGGATTGGCAGGTGAAATGTTCACTGATGGAAAAGAAACACTTACGGCCTTGTACCTCTGCAACGCTACTGATGTGACTGCAGGTGTTGCATTGGGGACGCTGACACGCGAGGGAGCCAGGCTGTTTGGTAAAAGAATGATGGGTGGGGTAAACCAGTATGTTCCTTAAGTTGATCTCGCGTTTGTGCGCCACAAAAGGTGGTTGTGGGAAGACACCTCGACTTAATTCATTCGTTGAAAGAATGCCGAAGTTTTGTGAAAGAAATTGGTTGATTCTGGTGTTAAATGGGTGGTACTGATAGGAGAACCAGAAGCACTCTATCAACGGCTGCGTCAACCTGTTTGGACGGGCGCAACGCGTTAGGACGGCTAATGTTTGGTACTATCTGTAGATTGCTAATAATGACGCTGTCTAACAACACCATAACAACTAAAATCCGACTTCAGTCAAACAAGTCCTAGAAAGTAAAAATTTCCAATAATTCATCTCCTTATATCATATATTTTATCTTACACCCCTTTTATGTTTACAGGTTATCATGAATATGGATACCATTTACTGATCCATATTCATGATAATCTGTAAAGACATGAGCCTCGAGTAAGTATGTTTTAGTGCCTTGCCTAATATTATAATAAAGCCATGTTAAACAGTTAGCATAAGGTCGGTCTGCACAGGCACATAACAATCTTCCGCTTCCACTATGCGGCCGACTGCAAGACGAGATATTCAACAAAAGAAATATTTTGATTCCGTTCAATTTTGAGCCTCCAAATCGTGAAAAAATTCAATGAAGCTCTGGGAAATTTTTGAGTAGTGCAATGGAAAACTGGGAACGAGAAATCAGTTAAGATAAAAACATGCCATCACACCCTTATTTAATTCATATAAGTACTGGTGACGAGTTAAATCAAATTTCCCTCTTCCAAGCATAATCAGTTACATTCCATGCAGATGTAACCATCATATTTGGAGCAATTTTCTGATTGATGCTTTCTTTTCCTTTGTGGACACAGTTGCATTCCACAAGCCATCGCTTCAATCCTGGGTACGATGTATAATAAACCATTTGTTATTGTGAACAAGAACAAGAACAACGAAACAACCCACCAGCCAGACCCAGCAGATTGGTTAAAAGATCTCTTGGACAGGATTTAATACACTCGGTTAGGGTCTGACGGGGGCTGTCAATTCTTTGTGTTCAAACAATTCTACAAAGACTGTTTTTAAGTTTTACTTTTCCTCTCTGCTTCTGTTCCACAGTTTCAGTAACCAGCTTTTTCGTGTGGCATGGTTTTATGCCAACCATAGTGGTATCTACAGTTTGTGCTTGACGAGCTGGTGGAAAACAGCCGCTTTTTTGGGTAAGGAAAAAAAAGATCGTGATATCTTGGTATAAGAGGGATTTTGTAAAGCTCTACGTACTCAAAAAGAAACTGAAGCAGATATGACGTAACAATGCAAAAGCTTTTACCCTTAACAAATTTCATTGAAACAACATTCTCTGGTCTTAAGCATAGAGTTAACGTGGGATTTACTTTCTCAGTTCGGCAGTCAGGGAGAAGCTGAGAGTCATGAGTCACTTCAAAGGACTGGGCAGACTGACAGGTACCGTAAACTTCTGAAAGTAACGACCCTCGTTACTTTTGAAATTAGCGGCCTTTAGAACCAGGGTGCCATGGACACCGTGTAATTTAAAAATTAGTGTTTATCAATGTAGAAAAGTTGCGACCTGGAGATAGGTTACTGTTTAGAATGTGATTGTATTAATGTAATATTTCAAAACTAAAATATAATCAAAAGTTTTACTGATATGGAATATTTATAGAAATCACAAGGCAGTAAGGACTGTGACTTTTATCCTAAGAAGTTTTCACCTAAAAGGGACGGAAAAATTTCTTATTTTATTGTCGTCTTACTTTTCATTTGTTACCACTTTGTCCATACTTTGTAAGCCAGTAATTAAGCCTGAAGGAGTCTTTATATGACTTTCGTAATTTTGATTCAGCTTACGTGTAATCTGAACTCCAATGGAAACGGTGAAGCACCGGGCCTCGCTTGGTTATCGAAGGAAGAGAATGTATGCCTGGGACCTAGGGCGATTCTGATTGGAACTTGCTATCTGACAACAGGAGCAAACAAGAGGGCGTGTTAGATCAGATATAGTCACGTGTCTAAGACGATGGTCGGCAATCGATTTGATTGGTTAGCAATGGCTACGAAAAAGCTTCTTTCACAAGCCTGGCGATCAGAATTCTTTCGTCGTCGTGTCCTCCTTACTGACGTTTGCAGGCCTGGCGAAGAAAGAGGCTGAAGAAGAATTTGGATCGTTACACAACTCGCACGATATCTGCACGGTTACTAATTAACAATTAGACCCGTAGCCCGCAAGGGCTACGGGTCAATAGCCCATGAGGCGAAGCCGAATGGGCTATTGACCCGTGGCCCTTGAGGGCGAAGGGTCTANGACTATTACTAATAGTCCCCTAGTAGCGTAGCCAATCAAAATGCAGGATTTGCATTAGTCCACTAGTTGGGTGATACTAAAGAACAAATAACTCCGAAGGAATTCCGCGCTCACAAATAACTCAGGGCCTCTGGGTTTGTTGTCTAATTGTCTATGCAATGGTTTTATCCACGAGTGGCTAAGAAATGTATTTTCTTTTACAGTACATGGACGCTAAGTAGAGCTGGATACTGTGCGGTGTTGTGAGCTATGTAAACTGCTAGGGTCCCTAAGGGTCCTTGTTCATTGTTATCGTTGATTTTTACAAGATTACAAGATGCCTCTCAGGACTCTCAGTGGTATCCAGATTACACTGTCAGTTTATAAAGAAAAGTACGATTCAGAACACGAGTGGGGGATCGGATGGGATAACGAAAACAACAAAGTACAGCTTTCTCAACACCGCAAAGGTAACTAAAAAAGTTCTCCATTTGAGGCTCCTAGCTCATCAGGCCGCCGCTTATCCCGGATTTTGCAAAATGTTTGCACCTAATTTTCGTCTCCTACCAGGCTAGACGCTAGGCCTGGATGGCGACCAGCCATCGTTTAACTTACCGGTACTCATTTGTACACCTCGGTGGAAATACGCACTGCAAAGTGCAAAGTGCTTTTCTCGCTGGTCAAGAACACCACCTATTTGGCTAGCTTACGAGGGGGGAAGACGAACCAAATCCTGCGTTGTGATTGCCTACCAAAGCGGACGAGAATCGGGACCATCCGCTACAAGAAAACGGTGTTTTTTATACCCAATAATAAATCTATATTAACAAGGTTTGTTGGGTCAAGGGGGCCTCGTTTTCTTTCCTTACAGGCTGCTTCTCGGTCCATAAACACTGAGAAAAAGATTAGCCACTATGCAGATAGCCTGCGTACAGGCTCCCGGCGAGGACGGAAAAAAAATTCGGCGAGTGCGGAACTGAAGAATTCGGAGAGCGAAGCGATCGGGGCGGACACGCTTCGTTCGGGCTCGCCGGGAACCTGCTCGCGGGCTACTACTTATCTTGACCTAACGCACGGTCACTCCTAGGTATAAAGGTGGCCAAACAGGAGGGGTCATGTTGCAGGAACAGGTTGTAGCGACAAAATCACAACATCCGCACACACATGAAAATGTTGCGGGAACATGTCCCAGGGATGTGTTGCAGCGACATGTCCCCTCGTGTGAACTGACTGACCGCATGGTGCATGGTTTTGATAATGCCCAGTATGCTTTGACGCACTGCATCATTGAAGTAAAATGGCGGCCACCGTAGAATCGGTTGAGGAAGATTCTCCAGCTAAAAATCCTGAAGAAAGAGGTCAAATTTCTTGGAATAATAGCCAGACACGTATGCAGATTGCTCATTTCAAGGATAATCCAATTCTATGGGACAAGCAACGAAAAGACAATGCCAACAGACAGAAAACTAAAAAGGTAATGGCACCTTTGTTAGCACGATTTGAGAAGGCACAACCACCAGGAAACCTAGCGGCGATCAAATCGAGGTGGAACAGCTTAAGGAGTTCGGTATTGAGATACATGAAAAAGCAAAAAAATATCATTCCAGTCAAAAGTAGCAGCACGAGCACCGCTACTGATGGCTAACATCTTGTTTTTCCCTGTGCACGAGCACAAAGAATTCTGGTCGTTGTCTCTGATTGGCTCAACTTTTAATTCTGTATCAGGGTCGTGTTGCATAACCGTATGGGTTTAGTATGCTACTACAGAATCAATTTCAAGTGGTTTACATGGCATTCAACACTGGCAACTGAAGTCTAAAGTGACGGCTGCTATGACCGAGGTCTGAGCGGAAAACCAAAAACTAATAGGGATCGGTTCAAACGAGAAAGTTCAAAACGACTTCGGAAAGTAGGTGGAGCCTGGGATACTGATTGGCTGAAGTAACCGAAGTAGGAAGAATATTCAGCGAAGTGAGTTTATCATCTGGACAAAATGAACATAAGTAAATATTTTCACAACACTTTCTTACAAAGTGAAACTATATCAAGATGGACAAAACTAACAGATAAGGAGGAAATACTAAAGCAGCTTAAAATGATAAAACATTAATAAAACATTTCACAACTTGATTCTACACTACACGTTAAAAATAATGACTTTACTAATTTCGTGAAATAAACAATATGTACATTACATCATAAGAGTACAAAATTACACCCAGACCATTTCCATTTCCTTGTCACATCATGTTCATTCTTCACCGCTAACGCACAAATGGTGGCTGTGAACTGATCATTTTCCAAAAAAAATATTCACAAGCAATATTGATAAAATATATTAAAATTGGTCAAAACTATTTCTCCTATAATTGTTACCTAAATACAATTCGTCTTGATCTACACGAACAGAGAAAACCAATGTAAAAACATTGCACGAATAATTAGAAACAGGGCTCCTGTTAGAAAGTAACACTTAAATAAAATCGCCGGCATTTTGTTTTTGTCTTTTTTCATCGAAATTGTATTGCTGTTCTCGTAGGAAGAGGATAATTTATTCTCTAAAACAAGAACGCAAAACATGTGTCTTAATTCAGAAAAAGTTACATTCAATTCAACACGTTCAGTGTTGATTCATTTTCAACATCGTGTAGAACGTGCTTCTAAACTCGGTAATAGATTAAGCAAATTCAATTTTAAACTGTTCAAGTACGATCAATATTTCTGGAAACATTAATTCACTATGGTGCAGCCTGAACACCTTGTCAGTTCAAGTTCCTCTTTACCACAAAAAAATCTAGCAAAGGTCACTTAACTCCAAGACGGACTGGGACGTTAGTTCTATAAAAATATTTGTACTAAAATATATCTTGCTTTGAAAAACATAAAATTGCACGTATTTACAGAATTGGGTAAGACTAAGATTTAAACTTTGAATTTGACTGAAAATGCCATTAAAATATCTCTAAAATCATCACGTGATCAAATTCTTAGTGTTCCACCAATAAGATGCTGGGAAGCCGCTAACAATCTATATCGCTGACGCAAGTTGCGGGCGCGAACATGTTCATTGAGGATTTCCTCTGTGTGATTGGCAGGAAACCAGCCCTGAGTTCCGTCACATAATCGTTCTCCGTGATACCATCCTGGAATAAGAGGACACATAAATTACACATTTTGTTCTCTATAACACGCTTTTCCATTGTAGTTAATTCCAGAATATGCTAAACTTCAAAAATATTATTCATTTCTGGTTATCACACTTTCACTCTTTGTCTAACACGCTTTATAAAGTAGTTCTTCATTCACAATGTGTAGTTAAATCCCTAGTGTACGAAGTGTTCCGAACATTCATGATAGCTACTGAGCGATACTGTCACTGGTTATTCGCTGTGCAAGGTAGCGACTATTCAAATGAAGTTACTAAGCAGTTGTAATGGTGTTCGTTCAATATTGAACAAAATCACGTAAGAGTGAAAAGGTCGTTATTAACTCAACTGTGGAGAACAAAGTGTGTGATTTACTGACTGGGAAAGACTTTCTACCAAGGAACCCAACTCCACTTTTTTTCATAAAATATACCACAATGTGCGCGAGCTTACCATCCGGGAGTTTTTTCAGTACATTGATGACGTCACCCTCGTAAAGGGAGAGCTCGTCTGGTTGTTGAGCGGTGTAGTTGTGAAGAGCGTTCACTTGAGGACAGTCTACAAAGTAATTCAGTTGACATACAGTAAATATTCACGACACACATTTCGTCAAAACCAAGTTTACTCACAACGTCGGGACACTATCCCCCAACTTGATTGATGATTTCTTTTGTTCTCATTACCTGTTTGATTAACAATCTATTGAGAATGTACGGAGAAATCAAATCTTGATTCAGTAATGAGCGTTAGGAACATTAACTGTGCTTACCCCAAGCAGCATAAACAGTTTCTCCTTCTTGTTCGGCGGCTGGTGGTTTAAACGCTTCCATCCAGCGAGTCTTGTCCGTTCTAACGAGAGAAAAGGAATGAACAGTCAACAAACAACCTAAAATTTAAGTCTAGCGAGAAAAAATTAATTAAATTAAGCATGAAGCATTTATTTACAACGGAAAGGAAAGGCACAGCTAACGGTTAATTTCAGACCATTATTGAACTAAAACAACTTACTCCGTGATTCCCACCATTAAAAACTCTTTGGTTTTCGATTCTGAATTTTCTAGTAACACCAGAGAGAACATGTGGTCGACATTTATCTCAGAGTCGTGTGGCTCGTCCACTTGTGTCATGTTACGTGTGGCGTAATCAAGAGCAATGTAGCGATTTTCACTGAAAGTCAAAACGATAACACAAAAAGTTTAGTTCTCGTGTTTAAAGTAAATTACAGTTATGTATAACTTAGTTTGGCGACATCCTGTTAAAAGAAGTTGGTAAATTCAAGAAAATCATAATTGGGAAGTAAAGAGTTCACAACGTATATTTTGATTACCAGCAGCGAAATCAGGGTTAGCCTGTGAACAGGCTCCGGCTGGAAGGGCCGAGAAGAAACTGGGTGAGAGTGAAGTGGCCAAGGGGGAATGGGGTGGGTTTTTCTTCTCAACCCCTTATCTTCCACTAGAGAGCTTGTTCACTGGCTACGAAATGGTATACATAGTTATTTTCAACTCCTAGTATAGTTCCACTGTTTCAGGAGTATACTTATTTAAGATATTAAAGATAAAGCAATAGCAGGATATTTATGGAAAGGCGTTAGTTGCTGTGTTATTACGCGACACCATCTGAAACCAGTGCCTTGTTGAAATCCTCATCAGATAGTAATAAATCAAAAAAAAAAAAAAAAAAGGAACACAATTCTTGACTCCCACTAAGCCTGGCATAGGTGTCCGGTTACATATGTTGAATTCAGTCCCCGGGAGAGAAACGTCCAGAATTTGGGTCGAAAAAACAAAAACAAAAACAAAAAAACATACTCAAAACGTAGCAGCACATGATGTTGATATTATGTTGACATGATGTTCTCCATTTGGTTGATTATTGCACGCAGGTAAGAGCCAATCAGATACATGACGAGGATCAGTTGTGTGCTAGTCATCAACAGAGACTATCCTTAAAGTTTCTTTCACTCATTTACTGGTGAGATGCCGGCTACATTATGATGACAGGCGGCATGCGATAACAAGTAACCTAAAGGAGTGCTGATGATGGTTTCTAACCATTTTTAAAGCAGTTTTTTGCAGCAGGATTGGCTAAACTAATGTACTGACCGCCCTACCTTTTCTTCTTTGCCAGGAGCAGCAGATCGTTGAACAGAAACATATAGACAGGTTTAAATTTGGGTCTTAATCTTTTCAGGGGGTTCCTTGAGTCCTCCACACTGACTTGCATTAAATCACCTCGTCGAAGTAAATACCGTGCTGGTGTCGCCAGGGCAAGAGGCTAAATGGACAATAAGTAACAACCATCAGACTTGTAAACAATATACAATCTTTCCTCAACCAAAGATCACATAAATAACCCCTGGGCAACACGCTTAAAAAGTAAGAGGAAGAGTTAAAATGTTAACAACGCACAAACAAATTGTATTGCGATAATTAAACATGTCCGACGAGGGAATTGCATGCAAAATTTTACGTGAAAAGACGATATCACACTCACTTCAAATTTATGTTTAGCAGTGTGTAAATTAAAACAATTTTTAAAGACGTGCTCAACATCTCGTCTTCTGTGGAAGTATCAATTCGCTTGAAAAAAAGTTCAAAAAACCTCTCAGAAATGTCTTCGACTGTGTTAATCCACACTGCGTTCTCTCACCTTTGTTTTAAACTCGATCTGCGTTTGTAAAACACATATTTCTTCCATTCGTTCCATCTTCCTTGCACCTTCATTGCAATCATTCACAATCTGAAACAGTACAAAGGTAGACTTCTTTAACCTGACAAAGTACCAATAACTTGTATCTGGGCCCAGTTCAAATGTACTTGAACAAAGTTCTGATTAAAGATAATCCTAGTAAAATTTGGTCGTTCGGGGTGCCGGGTGGTGTGAGAAGCGATTCCCACAGCACTGACGTCAATGGCAACAACAACAACAACAACAACAACAACAACAACAACAAAGAATCATCACCTTGTTAATGGCAGCTAAGGCTCTATCTGTTTTATTGTACTCATCACTACCAGGTTCACAGCGATGACAAATAGCCTGTAAAGACAGTAAAAACACCTGCTCAAGAAATCCTTCCTGAACAATGGTAAAGTCCAGTAGAGAAACTACGCGACTGAAAAGCAAAAGGGTGTTCCTCATTTTCAGTCACTTTCTAACGTGTTATGTTCGAAGGCGAACTTGAATATTAGTTTTTACAACTGGTGAAAAGTTCTGCCGTGGTTTGCACGTTGTAATCCGGGTTTGACTGACGAACACAAATCCGTGACCTGCAAGCAGATCTTAAGTGACAAACACATTTCACAGCAGTTAGTACTCACGTTTACTAGTAATGGAAGACGTGTTATTCTTTGCATTGGAAGAACTAGAAAGGACTGTAGTGTCAAACCCTGCGCCTTTTTGCATGATTGGAGTTTGGCCACAGCATCCACAAAACGCACACTCTTCCTATAGCAACGACAGAAATAACAGTGACTTAGGTAATACAGAGATAAGGCATGTGAGAGTACGTGAAAGCACAAACATAAGCTTCATGCAGTCGTGGAGAAAATTGTTCAAGTTTCAACTCACCTAAGGTCTTTCAACGCCCTGTCCTGGTAGGTTTGATTGGAGCAGTACTTTACATAAACATCGAAAAAGTTTGAGGCCTGTGTACAGAAATGAGAGGTACATGTGTGATGGAAACTGTGTTTTTTCGCGATTAGTTTAAAATAAATAAATCATTTAAGGTGGTTCAATATGGATGTCATGTGAGGGGGTAGGTAAATAATAATATTTATGTTGCCATGGGCTGGTTAAATTCCTTTAATTTATCGGCAGTTTAAGGGCATCTTGGCTGAAAAGCACTGAGTTCAAGTTCCAAAGTACACCCAATGGTTCTCTTAAACTGGTCCTGGGGATTTAAGTTGATATCTTTGTAAGCGGCTCGAATACGAAGTGTTTGGTTTTCAGTTTAAATCACCTGAGCGTTGCCATGTTTATTTTATGGTACTTAAGGACGTCTTTGCGCGGTCAGAGATCTCCCTACGGAGTCTACATAAGAAGATTGGGAAGGTCTGGAATGTGAATTATAAACGATTAGAAGCACTTTTATGTCTTAAGATTCACACAGTGCTGTATTTCAAAAACGTCCACCTTAGGATTGACGTCATAATTTCCCATCAGGTTTTGCAAAAATTAACATGGCAGCACGTGGGAAATTTGAAATCCTAAATAGCTGAAAGTAAATGCCCAGCTTTCAAAACAGGCAAAGAATTATCGACTTCAAATCGCTGAAACAATTTAACACAAACACCAGCCTATGATTTGGAGCAAAACTGTTTTTTAGTCAGAATTCCCTTTAATGGACCAAACCAAAGGTTTCTAACCAACATCGCGTACAAACCTTCCCATAAAGTTCAAATAAAATGTGTAATTTTTCTTTTTGATCACTGTGCATAGTGACAGTTGCAAAAAAAAGTTTCACTTACGTATTCTACTATGATGTCACTTATAGACGAAATGACCACAGCTTCTTTTTGACGTGCTCGGAGGGCTTGGAGAAAGCTAAAATTAATAGAATGGTTTTACAGATTGATAAATTAGTTGCGTACATTCTGTTCTACAATGCTCTTGTGTAAACAATTTGGACTCTGTTGGCACTCAGCGTTAAACGCACAGTGCTAGAGAAACTACCGAATTAACTTGCAGAATATGGTTAAGGGAAAACGTATTCAGTCATGATATCAAGATTTTCATTCCAAATAGAGTAATAATAACAATAATAACAAATATAATAATAATAATAATAATAACAACAATAATAATAATAAATAAGTTCTTAAAAACGCATTTTACATTACATAAAAGTCACAATACTTTTTACAGTCCTAAATATGGATGACATCAGAAGTGTGACAGATTACTGCTGTGTACACGGTTACATGTGTGCGTACCTCTCACTGACGGATTTGATGGCACTGATGTTCGAGAACAGAACATGTGACTGGCCTCGTTCTAAAACACACAGAGAGGAGCCTGAAGACAACTCGTCCGAGTTGATGAAGTGTGACATCAGAATGTTGAGGCTTCTTAGATAGCTCGCTTCTGACGTAATCACTTCAAACATGGCCTGCAAAATAGACATTTGACAAAGGTTAAGAAATCTGCGTTTTTCACGGCAAATACAGTTAAAATAATACATATTAAATACCAAAATCAGCTACATGTATTGTACTCTGCTGCAGTGTTGGGAATGATTTAAAGATAAAAAAGAACTCCAAAATGACGGCTTCATTAAACTAGGAGTGGGTCACAATTGGCCACTGAATGAACTCGGCGCCTGTTCCAGTCTCCTGAGTCATTACTTTTGAGGACTCAAATAATGGCCATGATAGAGAGAGACTACAGTATTCTTAGCTAGATGGCAAACTGCTTTCAGTTACTTGCCACTCAGACCATTATCTTCGCGAATCTGATTTAATTCTACTTTTTCTACTCCAGGGCTGCAACATTAGGTTGATTTATAACAAACAAACAGTACAAACCTCTTGTCGTTTCCGTTCTTCTGGTTTTATGATGTCTAAAATTCCACTCGCCATGACCTGTTGATGGGGAAAAAAACGAAATAAGACCATGTCCTTCAACCAAAGCTTGACATACAACCAAGGAAACGGACCATCGTTTCATTCTTACTAGTAAACAAGTTTACTTTAAAAAGCCATCAAGAAATATTTAACACATTTTAATTGGGGGGAGTTACCCCTAACTGACAAATAGAAAAGAAAAGAAAAGAAAAGAAAAGAAAAGAAAAGAAAAGAAAAAACGCTGGAAGAGAAGGATTGTTACCCAAAGGGCGGTGAAAAAAGAATGTTGCAAAACTAAGTATAGTCTAGAGCTGCCCTTTCTTAATGTCTCACTGAGCTATGAAAAAAAGATAATGGTACAATGTACAAACCTCTGGCAGTTCACACCAAAGCATCCTCATGTTTCTCAGTGTTCCTTTTGTCAACTCCTCCAGAGAGGCCGCATCATTCAATGACACATCGCTGCTCAATCGGCGTCGGCTGAGGTTTCTTTCACGTTGGAGTGTGCGTCTGGTGTACACTTGATACAAAGGTTCTGTTGAATACATGTACATTGATAACAAAATTAATGACTTTTGAGGAGGATAGTCTCGCCTCCAAACTGTATGTGATGTAGATACCTTCCAATTTATCTTAAGAAGATTGAAATCCAGGAATTCTTTTGTACTCCCCTCTCCCTGATTGATGAGTATAAGACCAGTGACCAGCAAGGTTGTACCGCTATATACAAACATGTCAAAATCAAGTTCCCACCTGACACTGTATATCAGCAAATAGAGGCATGATAATCACTTAACCACTGAACACAGATTTTTACGGTACAGTGGAACCCGGTTAAGACAGACACCAAAGGGACATGATAAAGTGTCTGCATTATCCGGGTGTCACCCTAATTTAAGAGAAAACATATGAGCTTTTTAGTTGACGGGACAATGAAAACTGTCCATTATAAGGGGGTGTCCGTAGAGCGGGGTTTGACTGTATCAACTAACCTTCAGCCATACTGTCTTTGTCATCATCTAAAAACAAAACAAATTTCATTACAGTTGTACATGTTTATACTGTACATTGTAGAAATAGCTACATCATGTTATAAAGTTTTGGGTTTCCTTGTCAGTTCAATACTATTGAAGGTTACATTTAATTCTTATTACACCATTTACTTTAACTATGGGACTGTCAGTGACAAATTCACTTAGTTCATTATCATCAGAAGTGAGTATCACTCCCTTCTCAGAGTAAATTCCATCTATTCATTAAGCAACACTTACAGAATTTAATGCTATTTATCTATCTTCACAACACAAACCAATTTGTTTTTTGCTTTTTACTTCCAGTTCATTAGCTTATCTTCCTCAAATATACTCTGTATTTTTAGCTACCTGAAGAAAATACTTCCTCTGAAGGCTTGTGGATAGGCTAGAAAAGAAAAACAAAACATTGATTACAATATCCATTGACACTATAGTAGTGTTTTGATCCTCTAAATAGTAGACTGTTTGCAACATGGAAACTTGCAATGAGTTGCAATATTTTCAAAACTTCTGCATTTCATTCTTTACAGTACACTATCTCTCATGACAAAGCTGACAGCTACGATGAGCTCAGGGTGTGGTCCCCTAGCATATGTTCCTGTCTTACCTGCACATAAATACCTTCTGCATCCTCATAGTACACCTTGTGGGAGGGTGGTTCAGGAGGACAAGCGTTTTCAGGTGGAACACAATATTCATGCGACGAATCTGATGAAAATGAGTTCTCTGAAGAAGCTTTAATGAAAAAAAAAAAAATCAAATCAATGACACAAAAAGAGCAAGTACATACTGTGCAACAGTGTACAGTACAAATATTACTCACTTGTTAGTGAAGACTACAGTGTACATGTATGTGTTTTAGTTCCAAGAACTGAATGAGTTTTTGCAAAAATAGAGATCAAGAAGAAAACAAGATTGATACATGAATTTAAAACAAAGAGGAAAAAAAAGAAAAAGCATAAGTTCAAAGATGTTGTTAATGTTGAATGTGTTCTGAAAAAGTCAATCTTTGGCACCAAAAAAATTATCACGATGACAAATTATCACAAAATAAATACCATCATCATGGTCATCATGAACATCTTCCTCCTCATGTTCCTCTATAGGTGGCTCAAAATACTCATGGTCATCACTATCAGAGGACTCAGATTCTGTTTCATCTGTACTCAGATCTGTCACCAGGCACACGCAAAAACATTTCAGTACACAAATGTATTAATGTTATTCACATATGAAGTATTTTGTCAAAAAACTTCTGTCAAAGGGGATGGTCAACTCTCAATTTACTATTTACCTTCAGACTTGGATTAATTAGAAGAGCTTACCAGCAGGCATTCCATTCAATGTCTGGTTCTTCTTTAAACTGTCCATAAATCCAGCTACACTTTGCTCATCAGCTACTTCATAGGTCATTGATGTACTTTTACCATGGATGTCTTCCATGAACTCATTAACAATACTTTCCTCGGGTGCAACATAAGCACTATCAGACTCAAACACTGTAGCTGAAGGTGGATTACGGGCTGACAGTGATCGCTTGGGTGGACTGGCCCCAAGAAGGGTATGGTCATAGGCATAGGAGTACTGAGATTGGTCTGGGAAAGAATGAAATATTACCAAAATGTATGTTGTAGTTTCAAATACTTGTTTGAATTGTAAATTAAAGATAAATTGCAAATTGATATTCATTTCCCAAACTGTCAGATTACGATAATGATAATTGAGACAAAGAAAACTTATAATGGTAAGGTAATGTTAACTGGTTAAAAAAAATTCAAGTCATAATGAGATACATGTACGACGCTTAGAAATCTCAGATGTGAAATGCTACAGTATACATATACATATATGTATTCTACGCAAATCCCTTCAAACAAAATCAGTTCAAGTACTGTACATGTAAAGTCGCAGTCCACTTAAAAATAAATAAATTCACAACTTGAACTAAAGATCAACAAGCATTACCTTCAGCTGATGTAAACCTTTGTATGTCACTTTCTGACACAGATTTGCTGACAGCAGGTCTACCAGGAATCTCTTGTCTATGGTCCAAAGCTGACAATGGTCGTGGGCGAGGCACAGCAGGTAGAGGTGGAACTTTACGTGATGGTGCATTGTCAGCTACAGGGACAGCACCTGGAGGAAGGGGTGGTGGTGGTCGTCTATTACATGGAGCTTGTGTGGATTTTTGTGAGGGGAGTTTGACACCAGGGCGGCGAGATTTAAGTCCTGTTGCCAACCGTTGCTTACGGCGTTCTGGTAAAGATGATTTCCTAGTAGGGCCTTTGGATAAAATTAAACAGAAAGTGTGACTCTTCCAAAACAACAATGAATGAATGTCTTAACTAAAAATGTTACATATATCTAGTTTCATAGGAAAAATAATGCTTTGTTTTGTTTGTATTCCTTTGCATGTACATGTAAGAGTTGCCAATATAATTTTAAGTGGAAGAATAAGTCATAAGAACACTGAATTGCTTTAAATGTGAACATGCTAACCATCCATCTCTTTTGGGGTGTTATCTATTAGAAGACTCTCAGTTTCCTCAAGACTTTCCACTGTTCTTGGTCTTGCCCTTGCCACAGCCTCAGCTGATGGAGGACTGGGTCTAACTGGGGGATGTTTCTCTGTTTCTTGTCCTGCAAAGTGAGCATACAACAATATTGTGTGGTGTCAATGACTGAAGAAAACTCTCAACACAAGTCCAGTACTGAAACAGCTAGTTTGCCTTACTATGAAGTGTCTAGGAATATTCTATATATTTAATATGTACTACCACAGAATCTGATGCTACTCAATTGTAAGTAGCCATTATTACGTCAGATTACTCTTCTAGGCTTCATTCAAAATTAATGGAGGAAACAGGTACAGGATGGAAGGCAAAAATGCCAAACAATACCCAAACTTTTTGCAAGAATGGAAAAATAAAAATTTATGCACAATACAGTACATATCATACAAGATATTGAACCTCTTTAAAATGGCTGCAAAATGTCTTCAGTCCGAGAAAGTTACTGTCTGGCCACAGCAATAATTCATAACTGTAAAAAATGTTTCCAATTATCTGGGCTAATAAAATGTGTATGATATTATATTACCAAGTCGAGGAGATGATGGTTGACTTGAAGATTTCTGTGGTGAAGCTCCAGGTCTGGGAAGAGGGTTTGGCTTACCAACTTCACTTGATTTTGATTTGGAATCAGATTTCGGTGGTGATGAACTTAATGGTACATGTAGGTTACGTGGCGAAGGTCTTGGTGAGGAAAGAGGAGATGCTCTCGGAGAAGTACCAGGAGAAGGAAATAAACCACTGGCTTTACCCGTATTGTTATCGCGGAATGGGAACACAGGAATTGTTGATAATTTTTGTGCTAGAGCAGCAACAGATGACTGTGGACAGTCTTTTTTAGGAGAGGAACCCAGCTCAGGTGGAGGCTTTTGAGGTAGTGGTGGTTTACTTGACAATACCTCGCCAGCTGGTGGTTTTTGTCCAGGAAGAGCCATTCCTTTTGGCAAAGAAGGAAGAGGCTTTTTTGGTGGTAAGGGCTTTGATTTATCTCCAGCTGGTTGTAAGTCAACAGTTCTTGAAGCTGAAGAAATATCCTCACTGGCATTTGCACTCTCCCCATAGGCTTCTGGTTGTCTTGTGTCACTTATTTTACGGGGGTACTGTGAGGAGGTTTTAGTAGCTATGCCACTACTTTTACGGGGTACAGGTGGTGAAGTTTTACTAACCGTGCAGGTTATTTTACGGGGGGTAGGTGGGGAGTTTTTACTGACCATACCGTTTATTTTACGAGGGGTTGGTGGGGAGTTTTTACTTGCTTTGCTGCTTATTTTCTGGGTGATAAGTGGGGTAGGTGTAACCATCATTCCACCTGCTTTGTGGGGAGATGATGGTGTGGATTCAGCATTAGTTCCACTCCTTTTCTGGGGAGGCGATGGTGTGATTCTGTCAGCCCTGAAAATTTAATAAAGGCAGTTAGTTACATGTAGTCCTAGCTTATTATAGGAGAGAAAGTGTACTCTAAACAAACCAGAATGCTGTAAAACAGTGTGTACAGAGAGAAACAGTTGTAATATTATGTATGAAGTATTAATTTATCCTGTTTCTTCAAGTACAGGTTGCATATCTCCCTTTGAATCTTACAATTTACTGAATTATTACTGAAGCTAATCAGCAAGCTTTTAGCCAGATGGCCATCCAGATGTCCTGTGGATGGTCACTTTCCAAAGAAAATTGTTTAATTTTTCATATGTTGCCTTATGAATTGTTCATCTGAGCAGGCCCTATAGCACATTTTGGACGGCCACTTTCCAAATTCTGGCTAATCAGTCAAAGGTCTACATTAGGAAAGCAGTATTCACTCCTAGAATAAACAGAAACAACTCATCCTTACTATCCTTCAAATTTAGAGCTGGAATAGACACTTTGCAAAAATGGCCCCTAAATTTGAATGACAACAATACCTTCTACATCCTAAGCCTTGGGTTAATGTTTCCAGACAAAAGAGTTTTCACATGAATGCGAGGCTTAGGATGTATAAGTATTGTTATTCAAACATTAGCACCATCTATGCAAAGTGTCTATAGTATGATACAATTTAAACTAAATATTTTTTGGTAACAGAAATGTTAGCCTATAAACTCTTAATATACACAACATGAATCACAGGTGATGCTTTTAGAATGTGATTAACTCTGATTTCATTCTGACTTCAAATGTTCTCTCAACTGACCTTTGAACCATAGCTTGGCTGTCTTTACTTCTATCTATGGTTGTCACGTGTTCATAATCATCATCTTCTGAGTTTGACGACACACTTTCTGTTCTTGGTCTAAGTGGCTCATACCATTCACCATCATCCACAGAGTTAATATCTGCAGCACCATTTTCAGTATGAATTGTTTCAACATTGTTTGTACTTTCCTTAGAAGGCTGTAAGTTACTACATGAAAGACTGGTGCTGCTTGTCTCTGTAACTGAATCCAGTTTTCTTAAAGGTCTCTTGTCAATTGCTTCTTCATTATTATTAGTCACATTTCCCTCCTCAAGACCAACTGGTTTTGCACTTGGTGCATTAGGTGGTGGTCTTCGTGGTTTTGGAAGTATAACAGGTTTGGGAGGAATTTTTTCTGGTTTTCCATTCTGTGTTGTAGTCGCTCCTTTGGCTTGGTTGCGCGGCCGAGGTACAGGGCGTGGCTTAGTAGTGGGAGGGTGCACAGCTGAAGGTTTCTCTCCAGCTTTTAATGTTCTGTCTTTATCTTCTTCCTCCATACCTAACAAGGAAGATCAAAAGTGCTGTGATGTATGTTTAAAACTACACAGATCTGTAATGAGCTCCTACTGACCATATATTCTTTGAACATTTTTATCATAATACTTTAAGTAGTGATTTTGATTTCCTAGTTATTGGCTTTACAAGAAGTTAGAGATACCAAAGATTCTACATGCAGGGTTTGAGCAGGGTCAGGGTTAGCTTATGGTTTGCTGCATGAGACCACTTGACGTGACAAAAGGCCAGAATTTTATGAGGTAATTCTGTTGATCCACTGTGGACCTAAAGTAGATGTACACATACACAGACAAGTATTAATAGTAAATGGTACACGTTCAATAAAAGCCAGTCATGCTGGAAAATGGGGACAACCTTCAAGTATAATGGATAATCATCTACTGAGTATAACAAGTTACTTCCAGTTGCTTGATATTCTGTATACAAAGAGAGCAGAAACCTGAGCTAAGCAGAACAGGTTTGTAAGCCATACATGGAACCCACCAGCCTTAGCAAAGTCTATACAATGTAACACATTTGCAGATGATACACAACCTACCTACACGTAATAAGTGCTCAAACACGGCCTTCGGTTGGCTGATCACAATCAAAAATTATGTTACAGCTATCTCTTTGTGTGAAAGTACATCACCTTGAACATCAACATCCTTAGAGCTTGCATTTGTCTGAGTTAATGAACTTATTTTTGGGCTAAACCTTTGATTAATGCCAAAATTTAGTTCTAATAATAATGCAGTTGTTAAACTTAGTTCTCTCATAAGCATTGTGGATATAAAAAAACAAATCTGCATTTTAACCATTCAATTCACATAGGATTAATTAGCACAGTAAAAATAGCTCCCAATAGATTAAATGGGTCTGATCAACAGTTGATTTTTCATGTTGTAAAATTATGTCAATTACCACCACAAATTGTGATACAGCAGTTGTCAAGACCACAGTGCTAAGAAACATTTTTCACCAGTTACAACTATCATTGTTTGGTTTACGAATTACTCGATATTGCTCAGTGCTAATACTGACGTTTGACGCAATGTTGTTTGTTGTGAGATTTTGCTAATACGTGACTTTACAAACTACATTAGCGACAGAATATTGCTTGGTCTTTTTTTTGTCCTCGATGAATCACATGATTTGATCAATTCTATTACTAAAACTGCAAAGTAGATACGATGCACGACACGGCCCGACTGTGTGTCTTACATGTAGTGCAAGTCTTACGTCAAAAGATCACTTTTCTGTAATCTAGCCGGAGGCAAATCTATTTTATTTTCGACGATATCACTAAACTAATGGGTGAACAGATTAAGCTTAAAATAGACAACCAAAGTTCTGGCTTGCTAAGGTACAGACGCACTGAATTCGTAACTCTGGAAAGCAAGCTGTTTGTATAAATTTGAACGACAAATACGTACGTGTTGGTTTTCACAAGTAACTATGCCTTATCAGCCATAAACATAGAAAAAATTCTTAAATTTCAACTGCAACTGAACATCGCATTGTCCTTTACCAATTCGAAAATATTTCTTGCGTATGTGTGTATGAAAACGAAACCCAAGTCAAGATTGATCGATAACAAGTGTCGCCAGCAACTCAAGTAAGGTAAAACACACACAACGTTACCCGCTTTTATGGTATAAATGAGCCAACATCTCTCAAACATAAATAAGCAAAATAATTTTCCAAAGATCGAAACCAACAGGAAACAAAGGACACTACGGAACATAACACGAGAGCAATGATTCGATCGACTTACCCTACAGAAGCCCACATTTGAGGCAAGACGACGACACAACCACATGTACTGCAGTAAAGATATTACCTGTCTCGGTAGTTTAAGGTATCAAAAGCACCATATTATCGATTTCTAAAGGATCGGAAGTAACGACAAATCTCGCACTTTTGTACAGCAAAATGCCAAATGCGCAGTGCAAAAGCAGAAGGGGAAATGTTTGCGCATTTCCGTAAGTTTGTTGTTGGGAGACTGGGCAACACAGGTTATATAAAAAAGTTTGAGCTCAATACTCACCGCCCTGGAGGAGCATATAAAGAAACATATCTTCATGAAATATATCTTCTTTCTTCTTTTGAATACCGCAAAAGATATAACGCGGATTTTTCGGCCTATACTTAACGGTATTGGACCAAGCGGCACACGCAGTTCTCATGGTTTCCGTAGTTCCTGTTTCCGTTTGAAAGTTATCAAAGTTTAATGTTATCTCATCGTCGTTTCATTCATACGTCAGTCACAAGAATGCCTTTTTCGACCATGCAAATAGAGACTGGTTACTTAAGGCCTTAAACATTCACATCAAAGGCGTGATTCAAAACATTTACGCCAAAAATAACATGATGAAAATTAGTTCCGGAAGTCATGGGCTCATTCCAACCGCAAGTGGCGACACCACCTTACCTGAAGTACAGACATGAAGTCAACAACTTATTAAGTATGTAAATTACGTATGCCACTAGTTCTTTTTTCCCTTATTACGCGCATTTCTATCTTGTTGTTTATCCCTGAACATATTTCTATGCGCCTATCATCGTAGCCATTTTGTCTACGTCAACAATAGTCTTATCTTTCAAGATAGAGAGGGTCCGCGAGAGGGCAAAGGGATAATCCCCTAAAGGCGTGGAAAGGGAAGGGCTCCAAGATGACACGTGATTTTGAGTCTCTCATATGAGGATGAGAACTCCCCAAAAGAATATTTAAGGCAGGCACCACTATCCCTTGCTTCACTTTCAAATCCTTTTATGGAGGGCTTGATTAACTGTATTTTAGTAATTTCATAAAAATCATTTTGAGAGACATTTCATCTTCATTTCTTTGCAAAAGAATTGCAAATGGTTCGGGCAAGAGAAGATTAATTCAAGAAAAAAAAAAGCAATTGAAAAGAAATAGTCAATGACATAATAATTCAAGTTATCTCATCTGATCCTTATAAGGAATCATTAAGGGCTACTGAGCTGACACTTTTTTTTCTGCAATGCTCAAGCTGTCAAAACAAGCAATTTTGTTTCTCCATTTTAAATATCAGGAACAAAAACTAAGTGCCTCTGTAGGCTTGGAGCACTGCAATGCTAGTCTCAAATATCCTGCATCTATGTTGCAAAATATACAAATGTCTAAACATTCAACTATACAACAAAAATTTACTCTGAGGTCACCTTTCAGGGAAATTGAAAGTGAACAAACAGTGTCACATGCTGGCAGTGACAATTACCTTCCCAAGTCATGTCTTTAACAATGAAAAATCAGGGGCTATGTTGGACTGCTTATAATGAGTTTTTGAAAACGTTCAGATATCTAGCCACATGGGTTTGTTCATAAAGCAGCCAACTTTAAAATACACAGATGCAGACTCAAACATCATGACATACAGGAAGACTTTTCAATTTTATTTATTTTATTCTTTTATTATCTTACTATAATTCTTACTCTTAACAGATATAGTAAACATGCATTAATTACTGCATGAGTTTGAAACTGAACAAACCTCTGATCACCAAAACAATCAGATATCCAAACTCTGTTACTGAGCTGAGTTTATTTGTTTTGAACTTTTTCCTAACAAGTAATTTGTATTATTCATCAAAGCTGACATACTAAGTAACACATATGTGTGAATCCGTAAATACTGTAGAACTGTAGATTTTGAATCAATCACTCTACATTAATCATGTACCATTTTCTCTTCAATACACAATTTCACAGTTACACTCCCAGGGATTACTTGAAGAATACAATAACTGGCATTTTTCTAACAAAAATGTCATCAAAATTCCTAGATTCCATACACCCACCCCCACCCCCTATATAGTGTGGTAACACTACATAGTAACATTGTTCATAACTGGTTTATATCCAGTTTGATCACAACCAAGTTTAACAAACTGTGGCAAGACAGTAATAGACTTATTACTTAATCAACATCGGGCCTGCCAGTTTATCTGCTTCACCATCATCCCCTCGCACAGCACGGACAAGCTCAATGCCAAACTCAAAGGCTGTACCAGGGCCTCGGCTAGTTACCAGGTTCCCATCTCGCACCACACGCTCTTCAGAATAGGTATAGCCTGGTGAATAAATTACCAACTTAATGTTATGCAAAAAAGGTGATATTTAATGACTATAAATCACCATGACTTTAAAATATATTTTCATAATATGCATTTATTGACAGAGATAAACCACAAAAAGGGCAGATGACAAAGGGTAATTTTACTTTTATAACTATGATGCAATAACTATTATTTTGTACATATAAAACAATGTAAGAAAATTATATTCACCATCCAATTTATCTTTCACAGATGGATGTGATGTAACAGTCTTTCCTTTTGCAATTCCATGAGCATGAAGAGCTGTTGGAGCTATCAAACAAATGACAACAGTGCTTCTAAAACCCTATAAATAAGCAGAAATCTAAACTGGCTCACAGATTACTATAAGCTTCACACTCAGAAATGCAATACCTTCTATGAACAGATAAAACCCATTGACAAAGAGCCCTAGAGATTTTTTACCCCAGCTAAATTAAGTTGCTTTTTAACATAACATTGATACCAGCACAGATGGCTCCAATAATTCTTCCACTTTGTTCCTGTTCCTGAAGGATTTCTTTCACTTTCGCAGACTGTAAATAACAGAATCACAGCATTTAATTATACCAATAAAATTAAAAATGCTGTAAGTACCCCTCCACTAATATCACTAATGTACAACAGATCTAACATTAACATGCAAAAAAAAAACTACTTTTCTTTGTGGCGTTCTCTCATTAATAATTAAAATAATTTAAGTCTTTTAAGACTTAAAAGTCTACTATTTAAGTATAGTATAACTGGGCACTACAGAGTTTAAAATTTTATCACATTTACAACATAATTTACTTTGGTTAGCTAATCAGTCAAGATCGATGATCACTGGCCTATCAACAGGTAACAAGCAGGTGTACATGTAATTTTTTTTTAAAAAACTATATAACAACAGTGAATTAAAAATTCTTGAGAAAAACTAACATACACTGTAAAGCTATGTAAAACCTAACTTTGACAATGATCTGACTGATAGGCCAAGTAACAAGCAACTGAGTCAGGACGTGTTTCCAAATGTACATGTACACAGGCGTGATATACATGTACATGTAGTACATGTATGTAAACCTGTTAAATTGCTGAATCCATTACACTAACTATAGCTGTTACATCACAAAAATAAGAATGATGTATATTGATTACTTTTGCCAGGTTGTTGGATCCTCCCAGTCCTCCAGGTAGAATGACAGCATCATACGGACCCTAACAAATAACACAAACTGCAGTTCAGCAAAAACAACAACATATCTCATGAGTTAAATAAGATTACTGAAAAGAGATTGGAATTTTGAAGACAATTAAAGGATGAAGCTGAGTGATTAGGTCATATTCCAAGATGGTTCTTGATCCAACAACTGGCTTCTCAAAGCAAAAATGGTAGCAACAACACTTAGCCTTTCCACCCTTAAAATTTCTCTATAAAATCTGAATTCATAGCACACATGTGGTGACTGCTCTGAGTGAAATACTATATGTTGATTTAAAACTTACAAAACTGTACCTGTTTGACTGCATCTTCTAAACTCATATCTGGCTTGACACTCACACAGCGACTGCACACAACAGGATCTGCACTGGTCAGACCTCCAATGACTGTTTTAACCTAAACATGCAACAGTAAATATTAATTACAGTACTAGAAAACAGCTACAATGGGGGACAATACTCTTACGCCAATTAACACGATATGCCTTAATTTCTCCCCCTTTCCCCCTCGTCCCAAGCAATGTTGTAGTTTGTGCAGCCCTGTACACTTTGGCTGGTCCTGAAAGTGTTTCTTCATCCCAACATTGTTTGGAGGGGGGAGGGGAGGGCCATTCTCGGTATCCACATGGTTAGAGAAATTATGCTACATCTGATTATTTGATAAGGATGTGGAAACAAGGTTTTCGATGACTGTTCCAAGGAGTTTTGTCCTCCATTGTAGGTATACAACTGTAATAATTTCTCATTTTACATGCATGTTGTCTGGTATATATAATGTAATTCATTACAAATTGTAAAAATGTAGTTGGTTGGGTGAAGTTACATGAAGTTAACTACTGTATACCAGCCAACTCTCATGCCTTGGGTTAAGACTTCAATGTCAATGACTACTCATGTCTACTGACAAATTTCTCTGACCCAGCTGGACAACTTTTGATAATGTCCTTGAAAGTCTTCAGACATCATACTGGTTGCAGTATACTCTGGGAAAAAAATTGAAGGTTGACACATTTAAGAGTTGTAACTAACAGACATCCTTGCTTCATTTGCTTATCACTTTCAATTCATTTGTTCCTCTATCTTGTGACATGGGCTTTAAATTCATTTGAGTTTCAAGTGACTCTCAATTTACATTTTACAGGTAGTGCAATTGTTCATGAACCAAGGATCGAGTCAAATATTGTATTATGCACTGGACATGTGATAACTGCATAGATTGTACTGCTGTATTTCCAACATTCTGGTTTTTGGTCACTTAAGGTAATTCCTCTGAAATAAAAGTGACAATAGATTTTTGTTCAAACTTTGTCCACTGAATATTTGTCATATGATAACTTCAATTTTGAAATANAGTGCAGTCTGGTTAACTGCAATGCATTCTGGTAAAAAGTGATGAATTTGAGAATTCGTACCCCTTTCTATATATTCTTCTTAAATCCTGATTATGTTGCTGCTCGCTTGCTACGCTCGCTCCGCAGCAATTAGTATCTTAACAATATAATTAATACAATTTTAGTATTTACTTTAAGTCCTGATGTTTTACCTGTGTACAAATAAAGTTAAATAAATAAATAAATAAATAAATAAATAAACAACTCTTCATGACTCTTAATGTAGAACCAGTAGTGTGTCACTCTTTGCAAAGAGGGAGGGGTAAAACTATTTTAGGCACATTACATGACCAACATACAGGCTCTTATAACAGCAAGTTGTCTCTATACAGTTTCTGAGTAATAGTCTGACTGCCAACTGTTCCTAAGTCAAATGCATGCGATTTTTGCATCCATATCACCATGTTTTCTGAAAAAGAATCCCACAACTTCCGAATATTGCTGAAGATTAGCAATGTTTAAATGTAAGCTGAAAACTTTTTTAATTTCGTATAGCTTTTAAAGCGTATCTTGCTTGATATTCACCCTTATTAGTATTACTAATTAAGCTCATAATTGTATCTATAACAAAATTCTCCATCATGATTGGTTCTCCATGCACCTATTTATCATGTTATCCGGCATGATCATGTGGGTGTCCAATTACAGGTATCCAATTTGAACTTTTTGTACTTGGATACCTGTAGTTGGATACCCACACGATTCACGAGTAAATTACATGCACTTTAATGGCTTCCTTCACAATGTTTCCTACAGTTTTCAAAACTTATGAAAAGAGCTGTAGACGTTTTCGCTCGAAAGAAGTCCGAAATTTGTTATAGATACGATTAATTAGTAATTGGACTTTGTGTCATACATTTCAGCGAGTTATCGTGCTCATAATTTCAAATCGGCCTTGCGTTTCGCGCTCGTCCAATTTTGAAATTACTCGCGTGATTACTCCCGGAATTGTACATTATGCAATTATGCCACTTTTAAGCCTTCTATAAAAAGGCCATATCGTCCTGTGAAGTGCTTTAAAAACTAAATCTTACTGTATCAACTTACTTTTCCACGCCGTAACACGTCTGTAGTAATAACAGCTTCCATTTCTTCTGCACCTTCAGCCAAGATAACCAGCGCGCTACCCTTCAAGTCCGCCATCTTGGACGAGCAGAAATATCTAGTACCCAGACCTCTTATTAGCCAGCCTTTTCCACTTAAAAGCATTAAAAGTTTTCAAAAATACAGCTGTTTTCCACAACTGGAATGAGGAAAACGCTGTTAGGTAAAGCTGAAACGTATTTTCCGAAGCTTTTTCTGCTCGATTGAAAGGGGTTTATTCATGAATGAATGATTCACCAATCACGCGAAATGTTGGAAAAGCAGCGTGATGCATTGTGGGGCACAACACGGTGGCTAAATTCCGGGATCGTTTTGTTTCTACGAAGACGTAAATATTTCCTGAGCAACCAAATTATTTTTAGAGATTCTTTATTCTAACCAAGCTTATAGTTGCATGAAGTGGATAAAAGTGTATAATTGAGCTTGTTATCAGCAATGTAGGATTTCTACGTGCGTTTTCACCAAACAAACCATTGTTTACGTACTTTGTGTGTCATAGACTACGTACAAGAACGTTGATTTGAAATGTGGTATTACTTTGTGGCTCACTGTGCCTACCATTTTACAAGGTGGTTTCCTAAAGACTCTCGAGGAGCAGTGTAAGTCTCTTGCCACTTCATTGGGTCATGTTGTTTTATATAGACTGCGATCCACTGGCAAACATCATTGATCATCATGATCCCTGATCATCCTGGAGCAACATCATGCAAGTTTATAAAAATCTACGAGCGTTTGAAATGATGCTGAAGTGACTTATGAAAAAATTCATATTATGATTACAGTACTTCCTCTGCAATCAGTAGATCATCATTCATGTATACATCAATGTATTTTTTGAAGTTTGTTTTTTTATGCATTTAGTTAGTTGGTTATTTAAGTTTATTTATTCGATATTTTTTTTATTATTTATCAACAGGAGAATTACTGTAATACTCTTTGCCCTTGCATTTATCATACCGCAGATTTATGTTATCAGACTGTAAGTAGAGACCTCATTTATCTATATTTTGTTATCAATATAATTTGTCTGAAAAATTAAACTAGTACAGTGAGACTCAGTTTATTCAAAGTACATGTAGCTGTTAGAGGGTTTTTGGCACTTTTCTAAAATAAGCAATAAAATTGTCTGCTTTGTTTAATTTGTCGATTTCCGTCACAATAATTAGTTAAGACTTGTAAGATTGCTCTCCTATAACTGCTACTACTTAGAGTTCCAAAGAAATAACTGGAAAAGTTATTGTTCAGTTCTTGATGAGACCAACTGCAGTCCTGCCATTTAATTGATTAGTCCTGCCATAGCATCATAGCCTTGTTTACCAAGTGAGATCTGTATTTTGTTGTTATGGCAGTGATCGAAGCTCGCATTACTGTGATAAGCCACTGTTGAACATCAGTGTAGCTGGGATTGTCTTCACATTTGTCATGGGAGGTATGTAAGACATCAAGATACAGACTTGTGTACATCTGAGAGATGTAAAGTTGAACTGAGGGGTCCTGAAATTGATATTTCATGTATTTTGTATAGCATTTGTGTTATTTCTTGGTTAATAAGAGGACAGGTACAGTGGAAGCCAAGGTTGATGTTCTTATCAGAGTGTGGAGTAGTCATTCTAGGGGATGTACATGTAGATTATTTATTAAAAGATTACTGTCCACAATATAACAGTGGATGTTTGACAGATACAATGTAACAAGGGTTTTGGATTTGAAAAGTATGTGTTGTGTCTAGCAATGTCGTCAGTCTACAATAATAAATTATTGGCAGTGTTTTAGCCTAATTATCCATAATTCTCTTTAGCAACTAATTACCCACTAATTTAGGAAGCACAGTCATTTGTCTTAGGGATCCAAACCTCTGATATCCTTCTGTTTTTGTAAGAAGATAAAACCCTTGCATTTTTTTATTCAGCCCATATTGGTCTTGATTGTACCTGTAGGTTATGCAGTATGGTAATTTAAACTGTTGCCTACACTCACAAACAGCACTTCTTCAAATTCTTAGAGCTAAATATGAATGTATGTTAATTGGTGAAGAGAATTGATGTTTTGATAAATGTAATTCTGGTAATTTGCAACCAGGCAACCAGGGCATCTTTGTTTTTTCTTTATGTGTATCTTGTACTTATATGTAGTGATTGGTCTTTTCATTTTCAGCATTTACATTTCTATTTGCAATAATGGAACCAGTTCCTTGGCAGCTAAAGATTGCCTTTCATTTCTTTGGGTTTGGCTCTCTTATTCTCGGCATGGTACTATTTGCATCAACTTTGGCATCTACAGTGTGTGTGAGTATTTACATGTAGCTTGGTTTTAGTGAATGTATTATTATTGATATACTTATATCTGTTTGATTTTGATGTTTCAGGATGATTTTACACCTGAGTTGTACTTCTTGTCTCTTTCGTTTGGAATATTTTCTGTTCTTTCAACTGGTAGGTTTTCATATTAATTTCTCCAAATTAGAATGAATAATTCATTAGATAGATAGAAATAATATCGAGGTAAGTCTTATGTATTACCGACAACTTACCAACATCTTACCGACAGATCCCCAACTGTTGGCGGACTGACGGCCATCTGTCGGCCAACTTTGGTCTGTGTTTTGGCCAAAACCTGTTTGCCATCTGTTAGGCAACAGTCAGCCGACAGTCAACTGACAGACTGCCAACAGTCAGTAATCTGTTAGTAAGTTTTCGGTAATATGTAACACTTACCTGGGTCTTGCCTCAACACTTACCTACTGCGCCTTTCAATAACATGCGGGCTCTAAAATTCAAAGCTCAACCGACAAGTGAGTTTTTCTCTACCGTCAATCAAATGTTCGGCAGCTCCTCTCAGCTTCCGACTACTGTCGATCGTGCGGTAATCAAATCGTTGTGCACAGTTCAGACAACAAAACTTTGCTCGGCAGTAGTCAGAAGCTGGGAGGAGGAGCTGAAGATTTTATTGACGGTAGCAAAAAGCACATTTGTTGCTTGAGCTTTGAATTTTAGGGTCCATGTGTTATTGAAAGGTGCAGTAACACTAAGTAGTAACAGTAGTCTGTTGGCCAGCTGTTGGCCAGCTGTTGGCCCTCTGTCAGTCAACTGTTGGTGGACTGTTGGCCAACTGTTGGCCAACAATCAAATGACAGNAAAAAAAAAATTGGGGTGCCCATGCTCGTTGGTGAGCTGGAGCCATTTTTCAACTGACAGAACTCAATATCAACGCAAATCCGTCATGTTTTCAATATGCCGTGCACAAGCGCACGCTAATGATTAGTTACTCTTGAAATAAAAAGTATTTTTCAAGACACAAAAATAGGAAAATTTGAAAAACCTTTAAAGTTTATAAACTCCCTTTTAGTTACCTCTCCAGAGTGAAAAAGATTTACATTGAATTTGGCTTAAAATTCAGATGAAAGTGAATAAAAAATCACAAACAAACGAACTACTATCGGCTTAATGGTCAGCAGTTTATACTCCATGCAATTTTTACATGATATGTCTATCATGATATGTCTCTTTCTCATTATGGCAACCAAAATGAAAACAAAATTATGATTAACTTGTAAAGAACATTTCTGAAGATAAAATGCTTCTGCTATTAAATGAATGCTTCAAAGGCATCTGAAACAAAAAAAACAGTCATTCTGTCTTTTTTTGAGGGGGGGGGGAGGAGGGGTTGTTTAGTTCAAAAAATGATCAGTGGTGTCTACTGCAAAACATTCTGAATCTCAGTGGACTTCAAATTTGTGACAGCACACTTATATAGATCATCAGCTTTGTTATCAACTTTGCTGACAGAACCCTGATCATGGATACTTGATGATGGTGGACGGTCACGACAATTCTGCTGCGAATGCTCAAGATATTTCTGGCAAAGCTCCCAGAATTTCAGCTCTACAACAAGAAAATATTACTGCTGATAGTCTTGTAGAACATCTTAAAGTGAACAAGTCTAAATTTTGTTGGGCTGGAACTTTTAGTGAGCTTATTGAGTTCACTAACAAATATCTTCATCTTGGCGACGGCATGACAAAGGTAATCGACAACGAAAATAAGAGGACGATTACGTCAGACCATTTAACTTTAAACTGGTATGAGTCAACTGGAACACTTCAAGTCCAAGGGTCGAATTGATCAAGCTGTAAGACTTTCCTAAACCAACTGACTGATGGTACAAAAGGAATTGAGTTTCTAGCTCCGCGTCTCCTTGACACTTCTGATGGAGATGGCAACAATGCCGCATGTCATCAAACCTGGAATGACCTTTGTAGCGCCAGTCCCGAAACTGCCGACATAGTGACAAAATCTATGTTTGCCCAAGAACTGGAAAAAATTTGGTCTCAAATTAAAATCCTGAATGCCAAGCTTTCTGGTGACAGCGACATAAGTAATAAACAGGAGGATAATATTCAAATCATCAACTCTTTGAAACAAAAGAACCAAGACTTGAATGACGAAATTTGCATCTTGAAGACAAGGTTGAATCAAGAAATTAACGCAGCGAAAAAGCTTACTGAGAAGAGGGATTCCTTGAAAACTGCACTACAAATTGTTATGAAAGATTTAATGAATTTGTCCAATGATAGGCCAATATCCCGTTCCGATCAGTTAAGTGACGATAACGGGTCTCAGTTCAAAAATGTTTCTGGCGGCAAGAAGACAAAGAAACCGAAACCTCAATTCCACCTCAAGATGTCAACCATCAGAATCGTTTTGAGCCCCTGAGAAACGAGGATTCAGTGATAGATTCTACACCTTCTAGTAATACAGATAAATCATTCACAACTTTCTTGGTGGGCGATTCTATGATAAAGCAAATACAGGGACGGAGGCTGGGTAGGAAAGTCGGCCATCGTGTGATTGTTAAATCTTTCCCTGGCGAAACCACCAACGATGTGACGCACTACCTAATGCCTACTGTCGACAAGAGCCTTCAACAGATTATTCTCCACATGGGAACGAATGACCTACGTGACCATACTCCAACCGTGGTAGCTGAGAACATTATGGACCTTGCCAGGAAAGTTGAAATGGAATCTAACGCTGAAGTTATCTTATCGGAGCTGGTGTCAAGATCAGATAATGTTCCAAACAATGCTGTGAAAGCTGTTAACAAGCACCTTATGAAATACTGTAATCAAAATGACTGGAGAGTGATTAAACATCAAAACATCGACAGAAATTGTCTAAATAAGAGCAGACTACATCTGAATGAAAAAGTAATAACATCCTTTTTAGTAACTTTGTGAATGCCTTAGATAATAGCTCCATGCACTGAATTCCTATTGCTATGGGTGCTGATCAAATCTCTGCAGCCGAAGAAAATTTCAATTTCTCTTACGAGTCTTCTAGGGCTGATGCAATCTCTGTAGTGGAAGAGAATTCAAATTTATCTCACTAGTCTTCTGCCTTTTTACCTTCAATGCGTGGCTTTAAATTAACCTACTTAAATATTGCAAGCTTGCCAAAACACATTGACGAGCTGAGAGATTTGCTCTCTGATAACCCTCTTGATATATTATCTATTAATGAGATGAGGCTCGATGATTCCGTCAGCGACGATGAGGTTTACATTCCCGGTTATGATATCGTTTGCCGTGATCGTGAACATAACGGTAGATTTGGTGGGGGAGTTTGCATCTATGTTTGATCTAATATAACTTTCTCTTTACGCCCTGATCTAAGTGATATACACCTCAAAAACATATGCATCGAGATTCGTAAACCTCGATCTAAACCCTTTCTTATTGCTACCTGGTATA